GGTACTCCGTACCCATGTGTGCGCCACACCCGTGTAACCCCGTTACATTCAAAGCCTGCCACCTCCAACGTTTCCAGCTATTCTATTGGCTTAATTGAGATAGCAGATGGAGATTTCCAATTTCTTTGGATAAATTACGATATATTACGTCCATCTTAAGCTTTATCATATTTGTTAAAATCATACAGCTGGCGTTAAAATGTATTTGATATCATATGTTCTTGTCAATCGTTTCGGATGCTTTTGTATCTATAGTAAGGAATAAAGTCTTCCATATTTTAAACAGTTGCACGACTAGTACAATAATATTATTGATATGTAACAGCAAGAACACAAAGTTGACTGATCGCCGAGGAACACGGACCATTGAGCTCGATACAGAAGCCCATTTTGGGTGGTACTGGGGTCTACTTGAAGCCAACATAGAGCTCAATATGCTTGTAAAATTTGAGCTTCAAATTTCAATGTTAACGAAAAGTTGTGATAGATCAAAAAAAATGTAACCTAGTTGTTGACACCTCCACGAGATAGAGATAATGAAGAACAATATCAATTTAGACAACCCCACTGCTGGTTACTACGCGATGCACGTCTGATCCGTTAAACTAGACAACAAGCTATCGAAGGAGGGCAAATACTTCTCAATAGCTCCGAAGGTTGGCGAATTATGGCCGATCCATTTGGATTAACCGACTTTTGAATTTTCTGTCCAAGCCTTTTTTTGCCGGGACAACAGCTCTGCGGATCGACCTAAAGGAGCTCTTATTGGGAAGAGTGTGTCATGACACGATCACTTTACCGCAAATTTCTTGTCGAAAAACTATTTCATACTTTCCGAGCCGAGCTGCCATGTATGCTATTCTTATTTTAAAATAATGATTTATCTAAAGTTTCCTTTTTCTACTTTAGTTCATAGGGGTTCTACAGTGATTGTCTAACAAGACAACACCGGAACCCATGTCTTTAAATGATGCCCAGCTAGCGACTTCAATCGCCGAATCTGAATGTATTAGATTTAGGATATTTCTCATCCAT